GTTTTTTTATTTTTCATTTCAATTTCTGAATTGAATAAAATAGAGTGAAAAAACAGCATAAGTACTTCTTGTTAATACCTGATAGTGATTTCTTAAAGTGGTGTTTACAAAATCATCTTCATCGATAATTTAAACAATATAACAATCTATTCATTCACCATGTTTGAATTTCTGACAACTTTAAAATGGAAACATTTTTTTAGTTTTCTCTGCATTCCTCTACAATCAGCAAATTACCCCCGTGTATTCATATTAAAATAATTGCATGACTGTTATTGTTGAATTAATGTTTTGTTTTTAGCATTGCCTTTATTTCGAACTTTTCCTCCATTTTAACAATAATAATCTAAATTGCTTTGTGAAAGTTAATTATAATTTTGAATTATATGCATACTTTTCAAATCTTTTTTTAAAGCATTACTTCTAGTGTCCTAGATTCCTTGACAATTTTAGTGATAAAATTGTCTACGTGCAGATATTCCTTTGAAATCTAGTTCTGAAACTAGTTTATAAGGAAGAAATGTTTCTTTTAAGAAATAACCACCTCAACTCGACGCAATGTTCACAATAATTTGTCAAATCAACTGAATAACTGCCAAAATTCAAATCGCCTTGACCGAGTTTGAATTCACCCATACAAGAAAGTTTGTTCAATTAAAAAAAAATATGTGTGTCATGATTTCGTCTCTTTTCTTTTTTAAAATTTATTCTTTTTTATTTTTCAAATAATATCGACTATAATTTTTTTTACAATTTACGTTTTAATATTAAATTCATTTCAAGGAAAATGAATGTTTAAAAAAAAGTGAATTTTATTTTAATATAGAACTTTGTTGACAAACAAAAAAAAGGTTAACACATTTCCCAAACACGAAAAAAATCTATCAAGGGAATTGATGAAGGAGATACTTCCTATCGCTTCTTAAATTACACATGCTTGATTCTCTCCACCAATTTAATAGGGGCATACGATTTCAGGATGATTGTTCTAGCTCTCGTCAGCATATTAATACAGCGTCTTCGGCACAGCCTATTTTTGCATTTAGTTTAGATTTGTTTTACTGGTCGAAGCTTGTAGATTGCAGGACTGTATTTGAATTAATAAATTCAGCATATTTTTAAATACTAGTAAAGCATTTATAGAAATTTTAATGGATAACTGAAATCAATATTTGATGAGACAAAAACGGAAATACGTATTTTTGCATATACAAAACATGGTTTACATCTACAAGATTGTTCTTTTTTCGGGGGAGGGGGTAGTGATGTTAGACCGATCACAGAAATAGTTTGGCTTGCATTGATAACAATAATTGTAATGCTAATGTTGGCAAATGGAATACTTTGAAATATGCATGTTACCCATGTTTATAAACGTCATTCTTTATCAACAGAAATATTAAATGACCCTTTTTCAACATGTCCTCATTTATTTACTTTATTTTGTACGTACTTCTTAGAATCCATTCTTCCTTATCTTCATAAGTTTATATTCATTTCATACAAAAATGTTCATCACTGAATATAACTGCATAAAAGTTGGATTTGCTTTTTCAAAAGAAATGTTTATACCAAATAGCTACTTTGGGGGTATGCTAATTTACCAGGAATAAAGTGTTTTTATTATGCGCTTTTGATTTTATTGTCATTTATGCAACGACTAATTACATATCTAAAAATATTCCTTAAGTCTCATAACTGCAGCAATGTGTTCAAACAAATTAAATAGCTCGCGTTATCTTTTAAAAATAATTATCATTTGCTTACTAGTATATTGAAATTTTTACTCAACAATTTTTCATTGAACACACGAGACAAAGAGAACAAGGTGACCTTGGCCACAAAATATATCCAGTATTATCGTCCAAGTAAGTCCCAGTTAATGGAAGAGCAAAAGCAATAGATTCTGTTCAAAGTAAGCGTTATATTCGCGTATAGTGATGCACTTCCAGAATGTTCAACGTTTGTGACGTCAAAATAAAACATAATCTTTAACCTTTTAACCCAATGTCTGGGTAATGGTAACTTAAACTGCTATTAATTTCCACACACTTTATATATATAATACATATGTAATGTAAACACATGGTAAATATTTAGTAATATCACCTGTCAAATTCCCTTACTTCTGCAGCAATATACCTTCATCGCCTGCATACGGAGTTTATACCTTACAGTTGATTCGATATGCAAGAGCATGCTCTACGTAGGTAATTTTTTTAAGGCGAGGTAAATTAAAGACGAACAAGTTGATAAAACAAGAATATATGAGCAATCTCTTTGAAGTCATCAATTCGTGAGTTCTTGGTCGATAAAATTACCTTGACAGCAATTACAATTTATCATTCAATCAGAGAAATATAAAGGATCTCTGACAAAATAAGGATAACAATACCTTTTTGATGTTTTTACTAACAATGTATAAAACCAACAAGGTCTTCTAAATAAGGAGAATGTATAATGTGAAGCAAAGCATACTATGTACAATTTTAAAAAATAACAATTTAAAACACAAGATTTTATTTACATTCAGAAAAATACTTTAATATCTACATATTAACAGAAATCAGCACAAATTGTCTGATGTCAGTTTCTTCCCAAATGAGTTATGAAATGACGCAAATATAATTTGTGAGACTTTTTACTAAAACTGCCTGTCGGCGTCTTCGTTCTGCCTCTTCCATCCCCCGAACCATCTGTTGCATCGGGATAATATAGTTGTTTTTTAACCAGACCATTTTGAAAGTCATAATCTTTTTGATGATTTTCGTCTGTCCACCAATAACGATTGAGCTAGAAACCAACATCCTGTTCGAGATGGTTCCGATTTCGTAAAACTCGTTGTTGCTATCGCCGCACATTTCATCGTTTTGAAAGAAGACCTTGTTTATCAGTTCGTCTGGAGAAAGCATCGCGCACAAAACTAGCAGCTGCTTTTTTCATCTTCACTCAAGATATGACAGTTTTGGAAGTCTCGAAGTCTTTCAATGTTTCGAGTTTCCGAACTTTCTAATTCAAGCGCATTGCAAACAACATCCAAGTAATACATGAGTCGAGTCTTAGGGTCATTTGGAACCGTCATTACCCGACCTGTCTGTTTAACATGTAGACGTGTATTACCAATTGCAAAAGCCATTTTGTAATTGAAGGAGTCTTAAGTTCTAAAATCTTGTTTAAATAGTATATGAGGGGATTGTATTTAAATTCATGTGCATGTTTTGCACATTTAAAGCAAGATATGTTCGTTTTAAATATAGATATCCTAAAACGTTACGATGGCCTGAAGTGAAAAATAGTTCCTGAACATACTAATAATTTTAACTAATTATTTGCAAAGCCATGCTCAATACATAATCATAGTTGAAAATCGTTTAACATTTATCATTGACCATACTACCCAGGGGATTTTCTTAGCGCATTTGGAATTTTCCAAAAATGAGATAGAATTGTGCAGTTTTTATTTACATGTTACATGTTTAAGTTAAATGTATCTTTACTTTAAATAACAATTGAAAAAGAAATGGTTATGGCTTTACGGCACAAAATAACCTTTTTTCTGCCTATCTTATTTTTGCGAATAAACAATGATCGCAAAAAAAAAGAAAAATTAATCATCGAGAAAGAAAACACCTATATATACGGTATATATTCTCTGATAAGTTTTATCATATGAAATTGTAACAGCAGATGTCACTGTGTTGCGTTCTCTGCTGAGAGGATGTATATGATAGTTTCATAAAGATTTGAGTTCATATTTCTATAACATTTGATTTTTACAATTTTTACAAATGATAATTCAACTAGAAGAAATTTTTGATTAAAACGTTCTCGAATAACTATACTCATATTGCAAAACAGAGGTCTTTGTATTAAGAATGTTGCCATAAAAGAACCACTATAATGACTAACAATGACCAAATGTCTTCATACAGCTGCAAAATCAAAATTATTTCTAATTTGAATACATTTGTTAACTTAAAGTCAATAATTATTGAGAATCTTGTGCCAAACTTAAAGTTAATGTGCTACATTTCTTAGTTTGATATTAAATTTTCGTTTTTAAGACAAATATAACAATAGAAAGGGGGAAATATGCTCTATCTTCGATCTTCGGATGATAATGATCATATTTTATGCATACAAGTATGCACTATATGAGACATTATATTTTTTTGTTAATGTGGTTTTTTGTTGTGTTCATTTTTATTATTATTTATCATTATATTATTTTTTTGTTTTTTTTTAAATTAAAAAAATAAAAACAACTTATAATAGTGTGAATTTTATATCAACAGGAAAAAATGTTCGAAACGATTTGATTTTCAAAATTAATTGTAAGACTATATCATGAAATTTAATGTTCTTTAATAGAAGATCAATCGGTATCTTTGTCTTATTCTGCCAAGTAGGTCAACAGTCTAGTTAATAATGCAAACAGAATAGCTTATAAAGAAAAAAATTATTCTTCGACCTCCAAATTTTTAATAGGTAAAGCATGAGGGTGTAACGATTACCGAAATAATTATCACAGCTAAAATCCATATGGCCTTGCGCCAATTCCTTGAAATTGAACTATAGTTGTATCGAAGATTTTAAAATACATCAAAATGTTTTATAAATGTAAATGACATGTACTACTTTAAAACAATAAACCAAATCAAACCCTCTCCTTTCATTCCTCAATGAAGAAATGTATTTTAGACTGCGTTTTACATGATTTCTAATTTCCGTGATTTTCTGACGTTTTTTCTTGTCATGCTAGAGTGTGATTAAAATATCAAGTTTCAAGTAAGGATCTATTTGTGAAAATTATATATATGCAAGTTTATGTCAAAAATCTTCAAATTCATGGAAACATTTATAGCCAAAATAGTATGTATTGGACAAGCGTATTTTTATTCATGGTAAAAGTTAAACTCCAGAGGGTTTATGTATGACGTTGTTATTATTTGGTGCAAAGGCTGTTCAATGTTTTATTTTCTGATATCTTTTTTTTCTAGATGATATCTTCTGTTATTTGCATTATTCTGCTTATTCATGCATCCAAATCAGAAACGCAGACAAACCACTGTAAAGAAATGTTACAGGGATATTTGACAGGTCAACTCTCGTCTGCTCTTGGGTCATACCAAATTGAGGCTTTAAAGCGGGAATTCAAAGGTTTTGCTGATACCATGGAAAAATCAATGAAAGAATTTAAGGAGCAAATGAAATCTGATTTGAAGAACGGATCTGGAGGTACATTCAACATTATTATCAATTTCAAACAGTTAGAACGATTATGTTTGTACCTAGGAAACATTTCCTCTTTTATACTGTATTAAAAGCTCATTTTATTTGTCATGACTTTCAATATTTTGATGTAAAACATAACATGTCGAATTAAGATTCAAAGATAATAATCAAATAACGCGGTTGAATATAATAGAATAATCAGAATTGCTCAAATTAAATTCAAGTCGATCCAAAGATTGGTGCTGTGTACATCAGGTGGGGAAAGAAAAGTTGTCCCTCGACAGCCCAGCTTGTGCATTCGGGTATGTATTAAACTTATAAGTGAGATATTTAAGATTATAAATATCTCATTATTTTTGTGAACCTTCCTACTACAGGGACATCATATGTCTACAGGTTATGTAGGAGGGTCGTACTTTACTCACACTGGTGCTGCAGTTGATCCCCTTTGTTTGCCAAGAAATCCCGAGTGGGGTAAATATAAAGATGCAGTTGAGCAATGGAGAGGTTATGTGTATGGGTCAGAATATGAAACCGATTATATACCATTGGCAAGCGTACATAATCACAACGTGCCATGTGCCGTTTGTCTTCTGAGAGATAAAACAACCACAACAGTTTTTCCAGGTATGTCATGTTTTTTTTTTAAACAAGAAACTGTAATTGATCTAAATTCATACCGAATAGAAAAATATCTTGTGAAATAATGCTTTTAAGGTAGGATTCTTCTCACATTTCTTGTATTTAAAAATTGATGAAATTTTCACGGAATCAAGAGGACAATATCACTAAGTGATAGTATCAGTGAAATTAAATTTCACCGTTTAATATTAGAGGCAAGGTCAGGTCAAGGTCATTACCTTTTTTCCTGGACATTTTAAAAGAACAGAAAATTACTGTTTCCAATCAAGCGATCCCTTCTTGTAATTCAAAAGATTGAACGTTTTTCTTTTTGCATAAAAAGATACAACCATAATGGGCATATAAGATGATATTACCAAATTGACATAAATAATTTTTAAAAAATATTTACTAATCCGAATTTCCTCTACTTTTCTTTAATTTTTAGGATATATTAGTTATTTTTATATGCTTCCTATATTTAACTTTTTCTCATTTTCACATATAGTAAAGTTGTCACATAAAGGTACAAAATGATACAAAAACTAAAAGTTTTGATCGTTTACTAAGAGAGAAATAACACTTTTTACGGATTTTTGGCTCAAGTATGTACTTAGATTTGAAGCATTTAAAAGCCTACGTAGTTGTAGTATTTGTGAAAAATCTTATTTATTTGATATATTTTGAAACTTTAGTCTTTTATTATTAATTTAACTTACATTTGAAAATTTCGCCTAGTCTTTGATTGCGTAAAAATTATAACTAAATTCAATGTTCTATGATAATTTTGAGAGGCAGAAAAGAAGATATTTTCATACGCCAGCATTCCTCCAAAAATATAGTCCCTGCTGGTGTTAAAACGCAGTTTACCATTTCTATTTAAAGTTGTACAATTCTGATGAGAAATGAAAAATATGGTCTTTAAAATCCCTTATACCTAAATATATAAGACATATAAGCAAATATACTTTGAATGTTTCATCTAGTCAGAAACCAGAGAAGAATCCTACCTTAAGTAAAGAATTTTAAAAAGAAGACATTTTTCCCCATTTAAACAATTATTCAATCATTAAAGAATATTGCTAAGTTCAATAATTTTTTTCTAGGGTATCGTTACTCGGACAATTTATTTAGTAAACCTGAAAAATATGGAGATAACGAACAGTATTCAAGCTCAACCCCATTTAAACAATAAAAATCAGGAACAGAGTTCATTCACACTTCTTTCTCATGTAAAATGGATTCCAAAAAATTCATAATTCAAAACATTTATAAAAAGCGATAACCTTAAATTTGAACTTTCAACATCAGAGTAAGATATTTTGGCTCAGTTTTTACATAATTTTAATAATTTGAGCAACTTAAAGTCATATACGCTATATGAACGCCGAATTTTGTGTGAAACAAAGTGATTAATGATTTGAAACACATGACGTGTAATGAAAAATTAATGCTTTCCACAAAATTGTACTATAGATGTCGTTGTAATGACCAAACAATTCAACAACATCTGTAATTAAGAATACAATCTTTTCGTGAATATTGATGAAGGAAGTGAAATCACAGACAACTAGGTATGTTGCATTTTGACAACAATTATTAAAAGGTTTATATGCGTCATAACAGAGTAGATTGTTGATAATGATTACATTAAAAGATAAGTATCATTAAGAGTAAGACGCTTGTTATATCCACGTCAAAAGTGATATAGTAGAGTGGTTAAGCATTTGGCCGTGTACGTGTACTTGTACGTGTAAACCTAGAAGTGATTTTATACGTACGCGTAACCACTGACGTGTTCTGTTTAACAAATTGAACGTGTACCGGTACGTGTAAAATCATTTCAGCAAGTCACTTTACAATTCATTTGTATCAAATAAATTTAGGACTTAAAATAAAAAAGATGCATTGGATGTTCGTAATAAACTCTCAACTTCATACCAAATACCGAATGAAACATATTTATTCCGTAGTTTAAGTTTAAAACGCTACAAGTTTTCACTGACGTGTACTTGCGAATCTACACGTTGTGTACAACTTGTAGAATTACGCTGTATGCAAAACTAATGACGTAAATCGCATTAAATTAATGGATTTCCCTAGCTACACGTACACGTAGATGTACTCGATCATCCTCTTAACCTCTCTAGTATATCAAACGGCCTACTTTGTTTTCTTGACGCCTTGTTTGAAAGTAACGACGGCGTCACGTGATGGATTTATTTAAAAATAGCCATTTCTCTCCTAACAGAATTATAAAAAGTTATAATTTGATAACTTTATAACGCGTTTAATTGTAATGGTGTAATTTACAGAATTTTTGTAACTTTTATTGGTAAACAAAATATATAAATTTCCAATCGTATTTAAACAAGTTTAGCGTGTATACTTTTAAATGGTTTTATTGTTGGCGACACTTGGGCGAGGGCATGACTTTTTCGACCCGTGCCAGAATAACACTTGTAGTTCAAGACATATCTTGTATTTTGTTTATCCTGCAAAATATTTTGACTTCCAAAACAGACCGTTTTTTCACAGATTTAGGTATATCTGTGCAATTGAATTATGGTGCAATGGCATTCACATTGCAATATGTATGACGTCACGAAGCTTTTAGAACGTCGAAATACATGCATGAGGCATGTATTTCGACTTTGCAGTTAAGAGACTTTATGTCTAAAATAAATAACGATTCAATCCCTATATATGTGTTTATATTTTTATATTTACACCCGCTGAATATTTTCTCCTTTATTTCTAAAGAAAACCCATTGCGTTAATCACTGCATGAACTACATTAGGCATGTCGCCTATACAGATTTCTTATTTCGGTGGTTGTTCCATCAATGAAACGTATAAAGATGTTCGCATCATTATTACAATAATTAATCTTTTTAATCCTACTTTAAATGATTATTTAAACAGATATAAATATAAACAATAAAATGTCTTTTTTGTTTGTTATTACTGGAATTAACGGAAGCAGCTGTTGCAGAAAAAATACATAACCCGCATTTTATTGTTTAAAACTCCTTGCCGTAGCTGCAAAGGCGATTTATATTACATGTACAACATCCCTGTATTATCCTGCAGGTAAGTTTCATTAACAGAAGAGCCATTCGTACTCTGAAACAGCTTTTATTTAATGTGAGCGTGAATTTTAATTTTCGTTTTTGACGTTGTATTTATATACGGCGTGTAGCGATTTTTTTATGTCAAAATAAAACGCATACCATGTAATCTTTTGACCCCCTGTCTGGGTTATGGTGTTTTAATTACTGTAACTTTCGATTTTATGAGTCAAAAAATATGGAAATAATTAAATTTTAGGGCGTTGACGGAATACAGCTTTGGTTTATTCAGTCAATGCAAAGGTATTGAAGGATAAAACCCATGCAGACATTAATTCAGAAATATTTATATTTCATCATAAAGGTATTTTATAGCCAGAACAGTCTGTTACAAGGGTTGGCGATTAGAATATGATGATACTTGAAACCTTTCATAAAGTTTACACTGTTGCTATGTATACATTCATTCAAACAATAACTATAGTATAATTATATCTTCCTTAGCAAGAAAATCCTGCTTCAGAGGTTGGAGGTTGGAGTACCATGGTTACCTTATGGCAGGGTATCATGGACACAAGGCTGGTACAATGTATACTTGTATTGACAAAAATCCGGATACTGTTGTTGGAGGACATGCAGATCATAATGGCTACCTCTTCTATCCAGTGGAATCTCGCTGTGGATCGTTGAATTGTCCGCCATACGTAGAAGGACGAGAACTTACATGTGCTGTTTGTTCTGCACCATGAATTTTAAAGCAGAATAACTGTTACAATAGCAAGATACTCCATTAATAATTTCAATAAAAATTTTAAAAATAATCAATCGTAAATGACACGCATTTTTCAAAAATTATTCTAGAAAGAAAATTTAAACTTTGGAACTATGCTTGATTCGACACAGAAGGATACCGATCTTGCATGGTTAAGACAAAGAAACAGTTGGTCGAATATAAAATTGGCACAGGAAAGTTTGCTTTATTGAAATGTTAGAATAAAATTGTAGATGTGTAATTTTATTAGAAAACATGTCCTATGATTGTGTCAATTTTGGTTGATGTGTGAGGCTTTTGCTTTTATTCTGAATTGACATTGGAAACTTGTTAATGATTGAGTATTTGGTTACAAATATCTACCAAAAGGAATGATTGATAAAAACAGTCCTCCTTAGGAGGAGACGTGCTGAAGCATACATGCGTAGCATACGATCGGAAATATTTTATTTTATTTCTGTGTAAGCTTAGTGATGTATGCCAAATCCTAGAAGTTTCAAATGTTATTTGCATTTTGCATTTTTACAAGTATTATGGTTCCAAATCAACCATAATAAATGTCTTCATCCAACAATCATGAAATTTCATTGGTCGAAATGGAAATGATTAGGATAACAAACGGTGATCGATCCCAAAAGTATTTAAACGACGTAATTATGTCGACATGTTATTTTATTACTCCTTTTCCTGGAAGGAGGTTTTGTTATATGAATAATAGTTAATTGAGTATAATGGCGTTTGCTTTAGGAAACACAAAATTTCATCTTAAAGCAACAGGCTCAGGTGCGACAGTGCCTGATACACCCCAAGCGAACTTCGTGTATTACCTTGATTGCATAAGCACATTGCTACACCTTAACGACTCGTGTTTCTGCTAGCATATAGGAGCTCAGAAAATACCGTAAACACTGGGCTTAATCCGAGAAGCAGACCACAGAATTGCTCGTGTTTTGCTCTCTGCATTTACCAGATGTTTTGTTGAATAAAATTATTTTTCAGAACGATAAAATGTGTGGAGATTCGAGCATTGATTTTTTTGAATAAGGTGTTGTTTCGAATTATTAAGATTTTAATAAAAAGGGTTTCAATATGTTCAAAATTGCTCCTTTCTGTGACTGTCCATATTAATCTTAACAATTTTTATTTACTTTAAATCTCATAAATATTAAAATCTATACCGTTTAATTTATTCAATATATTATATAAAATGATTGGAAATACAATTCTTAAAATTTCATTTTAAAAAAGTTTATTTATCATCTATTCATAAATGAGGCGTACACTTTTTCATGAAATTGAGGGGATAGAGGTTCAAAACAGGTTAAATTTCTATCGTTTATGCTGTAAGAAAATAAGATTTTGAAATAAAAAATAACTACATCTTTATTAAAATGGAGGTAGGAAATGTTCAGATTCTTTGATTGGTCACTAACCAAATACTTTTTAAAGTCACTTTGATTCTACACACAGGTACTCTGAAGTTTGAAATATTAAAAGAATGCTGGAGTTATGGGGAAATGATAGGCTTCATATGAATGAAATATATTTCAAACAAATGATGAAGTTCCTCATTTGTATTTAGTCTGCGGCGGCCTTATCTCCAACAAAGTGTCGGAATGCCAATGGGCACTAATTGTGCTCCTATATTATGTTACCAGTTTTTGTATTACTTTTAAGTTAAATTCTATTCAAAACATAAATTATATTCAAAAAGAAGAAATTGCTTGCTGTGCCCTCAAATTTGTCGTTTAGATATATCGACTATGAATTCATATGAGAAGTTACTTTCATTCTTATGTTCATTCGTTATCTCCCTCAGTTTAAAATAATACGAATTTTCATTGACTATTGACGACAAGTGTCATCTTACAACGAATTGGTGTGACAAACGAAATAACTTGGGCTTTTCCGTCGTCACCTTTTCTTATATATAGTAATGTCCCTGCATATGGTGTTTACATCTCCAAACTTATGCAAACACATTTTTCACTACTTACCAAGGATTTTGCTCTGCTTATTAAAAATTGAATAATTCATTTCGTGTTATGTACCTACTTTGCGCTAATTGTATGCTTGTTACTCCTTGATGAGCTAATTTGCAAATGAAAATAAAGACACAGAAACCTAAACAGTTCCAAGGACTATTTTTGATTTAAATTTGAACTTAAAGATGTTCTTAAAGAGGTGACTTTACACATTAGCCTAAAACAAATCGTGTTCACCGATTTTCAATATTACACGGAGAAAATTTAAAGCTTATATTTGGAAAACAATAAGGAACTAAATATTGTAGGCTTTGGATTTTAAAAAACTTCACTTATATGTGTAAAGATGCAGTTGTTGACGATCGAGAAATTATTCTTCAAGAAATTTTGAAGAAACTTCAATATATTACTTTATTTAATGCGTAACACATAAGTAATTAGGTGTTAAAAAAAAGAATTGACCTGATAAAAATAAGTCTTAATTCCATAGTTTTACCGAATTCCTTAAATCACTAGTATATCCTCTGATTGCAACATATGTAATTTTTAAACAAGCCTATTGAAAGTATTGTTATAGCGAAATTAATCCAGTCTAGTGTAATTTTGTTCATATAAAAAATGAAAAGGCCACAATTTAAGGGGATGAAGGACCTTTAGCTGAAAAAATACCTGTCATTTAATTTTTTCATATTTTGTACATATCTTATTTAGTATGTCCTACATACTATAGAGCAGACATATCAATAGGTTTCTAGACTTATTTCTGAGATATTGAGTGACAAATACCATACCCCACAGTGTCTGAGCGGAGTTTTTATTCTCCGTGTTTCTGGGTCCATTACTCGGTCGATAATTGAAATTTTTCACCATAGATAAAAAATATACCAGCGGAAATGTGTCTTTTAAAATATTTTAGAGTATGAATAGGGTTAAAAATTCGAAAAAGCAAGATTCTTTTGTAACACCACATCTGGAGACGGAAATTTACGACTTTTTTAGGACAACTTAAACCATAAAAAAATTAATTTGCAAAAAATCCTATCATTCAATATTTGAACATTTACGTCGAAGTTCAAGGTCGTCATCATCTATTCATAAATGAGGCGTACACTTTTTCATGAAATTGAGGGGATAGAGGTTCAAAACAGGTTAAATTTCTATCGTTTATGCTGTAAGAAAATAAGATTTTGAAATAAAAAATAACTACATCTTTATTAAAATGGAGGTAGGAAATGTTCAGATTCTTTGATTGGTCACTAACCAAATACTTTTTAAAGTCACTTTGATTCTACACACAGGTACTCTGAAGTTTGAAATATTAAAAGAATGCTGGAGTTATGGGGAAATGATAGGCTTCATATGAATGAAATATATTTCAAACAAATGATGAAGTTCCTCATTTGTATTTAGTCTGCGGCGGCCTTATCTCCAACAAAGTGTCGGAATGCCAATGGGCACTAATTGTGCTCCTATATTATGTTACCAGTTTTTGTATTACTTTTAAGTTAAATTCTATTCAAAACATAAATTATATTCAAAAAGAAGAAATTGCTTGCTGTGCCCTCAAATTTGTCGTTTAGATATATCGACTATGAATTCATATGAGAAGTTACTTTCATTCTTATGTTCATTCGTTATCTCCCTCAGTTTAAAATAATACGAATTTTCATTGACTATTGACGACAAGTGTCATCTTACAACGAATTGGTGTGACAAACGAAATAACTTGGGCTTTTCCGTCGTCACCTTTTCTTATATATAGTAATGTCCCTGCATATGGTGTTTACATCTCCAAACTTATGCAAACACATTTTTCACTACTTACCAAGGATTTTGCTCTGCTTATTAAAAATTGAATAATTCATTTCGTGTTATGTACCTACTTTGCGCTAATTGTATGCTTGTTACTCCTTGATGAGCTAATTTGCAAATGAAAATAAAGACACAGAAACCTAAACAGTTCCAAGGACTATTTTTGATTTAAATTTGAACTTAAAGATGTTCTTAAAGAGGTGACTTTACACATTAGCCTAAAACAAATCGTGTTCACCGATTTTCAATATTACACGGAGAAAATTTAAAGCTTATATTTGGAAAACAATAAGGAACTAAATATTGTAGGCTTTGGATTTTAAAAAACTTCACTTATATGTGTAAAGATGCAGTTGTTGACGATCGAGAAATTATTCTTCAAGAAATTTTGAAGAAACTTCAATATATTACTTTATTTAATGCGTAACACATAAGTAATTAGGTGTTAAAAAAAAGAATTGACCTGATAAAAATAAGTCTTAATTCCATAATTTTACCGAATTCCTTAAATCACTAGTATATCCTCTGATTGCAACATATGTAATTTTTAAACAAGCCTATTGAAAGTATTGTTATAGCGAAATTAATCCAGTCTAGTGTAATTTTGTTCATATAAAAAATGAAAAGGCCACAATTTAAGGGGATGAAGGACCTTTAGCTGAAAAAATACCTGTCATTTAATTTTTTCATATTTTGTACATATCTTATTTAGTATGTCCTACATACTATAGAGCAGACATATCAATAGGTTTCTAGACTTATTTCTGAGATATTGAGTGACAAATACCATACCCCACAGTGTCTGAGCGGAGTTTTTATTCTCCGTGTTTCTGGGTCCATTACTCGGTCGATAATTGAAATTTTTCACCATAGATAAAAAATATACCAGCGGAAATGTGTCTTTTAAAATATTTTAGAGTATGAATAGGGTTAAAAATTCGAAAAAGCAAGATTCTTTTGTAACACCACATCTGGAGACGGAAATTTACGACTTTTTTAGGACAACTTAAACCATAAAAAAATTAATTTGCAAAAAATCCTATCATTCAATATTTGAACATTTACGTCGAAGTTCAAGGTCGTCATTGTATTGATTAACTGTAAAAATATCGATTGGTAAAGCTGAGCTCAATATTGCACGGGGCAAAGTTAAACGAGTCATGATCATGAGAAAAACGTGTCATGTTTACATTTCTCGAGTACGGGAAAACCCAACTATGACGTCACACATTCCTGAACTAAGCGAAATAAGACAAACCCACAGAACTTTTCGGTCAACAACCATGTAAAAATATTTTTTGCGTTCTGAAATTTACAAAATACCCTACCATGTACATATTATGGCCCGTTTTTATGATTTTATACTACCCGTTTTTACCGTGTATGATCTTACTGAACTAAGAGATCCACTATGACGTCAAAGACGCACTGGACGCGCAGAGTAGGGAAACGGCAGAGTGGATTAATCTATTCCGTAATTTGATAACATTTGTAAGAAATTTTGAATGTTTTCAGATATTTTTATACTAGATGGTGAACGCAAACAAACAGTCAAAAAAATTATACAAGTACTGTGGTTTCAATCTCGTTTTGTACATATTTTATCAGAGATTATGACGTAAATCAACTGAGTCACGTGACCATACATCCTTCATCCCCTTAAAAAAAACGCCAAAACGGAAAAATGAGACTTCTTATACCTCTAAATATTCTTTTTTTTTCTGGTAGATGCCAGACGATTATATTTAGTTGTCGTCAAGGATTATTATTTTTTTTTTACATTCAATCTAACGGTGTTTGCTTCTCAGCTTTTCACCTGATTTTTGTCTTGATTTCTGTTTTGAAAATTTTACATGATGTTAAGTTCTTACTAATAATAAATTTGGATTCCACAAAGCTAAATTTTAAAACTTTAATTTAACACAAGTATTGTGCCAAAAAATGTGTGCTTGTGGAAGGGTGGCTTCAACTGGCTTTTTAATTAATTTAATTTTATAAAGCAAAATTAGAATTTGAGTTCTGATGCTAAGTCTGTATATAAGCCTTGCTTATTCAAATGGATTGAACCAGGTAACTGATGTTGGTATAAATCTGATGAAGCTGAGTATATCAGGAATCCTGCATCAATTTTCCAGCAAAGTCAAATGTACGTCACTCTTTATTTATTTCAAATTCGATATACATTATGACACATCCTTTTCTCTTTTTTTCGGAGGGGGGGGGGGGTGTTAAAACAGGCATATAGAAAACAATTCTTAAAACAGAAAAAATCTTAAAATTCAATTATTAATAATAAAACTGAAAAGGTAAAGAATAATTAAATGAAGAAGTAAATAAGAGAGAAAAGGAAAATACATTTTTGACGCGAGTTTCGTTTCCAAAGAGACTGACTGAAACATTAAAATAATCCAAGTGTTCCTCATTTCCTATTAATAAATATCACAGAAGTATGTTGTTTTTTATAACCACAATATCAAATGCCATTGCATTATTAATCCAAATGCAAATATGATTTATAATTTCCACACTTTGAGAAGGTCCCTGTTATTTAAAGTCCGAAGTCTGAAGTCTGATGTCCACTGTACGCTATTCCGCAAATGTCCAATTGCCCCATTTTGCTGTATCTGAAGACTGTGAATCAATTACAAACGACATACATCACAGTATAAGTTTATTTTCAAAAAAGAAAAAGGCTTGAAAACAATTTCAATTGAAAAAAATGTAAATCATAAAAATTCGGCCAAAACATACATTTTTGTATTTAGTTTCATATTCAATCGACACTTTTGTCTCAGTTTTCAGAACAAACGACACACAATAATTCCGATCCATTTCTGTATGGTGGGCATGTCAAACTGCCGCACTGAGTTTCCACTGTATAGAATAGGTAACCGTTGGCGTTTCCATGCCCCCCTACCACAGACTCGGGTTCAGCGTCCATACAGGTGAAGGTGGAGGCAGCAGGGTGTTGGAAATTTCCAGACATCAGATACCCCCAGTATTCTACTTTCCACCCGGCATAACAAGATTTTCTTGCTTTGGAGTATAATAAAAAATGAAGAAGACATTCTACATTATTCAGAATCTTCATAATATTCATAAGTGTCCAATTTAATAGAATCCAGAAAAAACATAGCTTAATATGTTGTTTTACGCCCTATTCGATAAGTTTTCACTATGTGTACAGACGTAATTTTAAAAATACCCGTGAAGGGCTTCAGATTTTGACTTATACATGGCATTCTGGTCCACTGAGCAGTGGAATCTTTACCTGCCGTGATACGGGTCCTCGGTTTTTTAAGACCCCATCCTAGGGACCAGTAACTTTCACTTCAAGTGACGAGCTCATATCGAAGGAACAATTGCTACCCATTTCTTGTAGATTAAGGTCAGTTGCAGACCAAATTTGAACTTACAACCAGTTCAAGTAAACTGTTAGTGTCACTCTCGGATGTAGTAGCGGTAAATGTAAACAATGCGAATTCCAAAACTTTCATAGAAACATTAGAAAATATCAACGATTCTAGTTTCATGTCTCTCAGTTTGACCTTGAACATATCATTGATTTAAACTTTAAAAATAATATCTATACCTGGAATAGCTAAGACGGACTCGTTGTTTTGAGTCCTACAGACAGCACAGGGCACATCATGGTCGTGGACATCGGTCATTACCAGACTATGGAGAGTTTCGTATTCGGCTCCATAGACCAGTCCTCTTGAATATTCTACCTCTGTGTTATGGATCTCCCACTCTGGATTTGTCGGTAAACAGAGCGGTTCAACTGCCCCTCCTGTGTGCCTATAATGACTTCCTGCAGCATAACCTAAAAACCATTCAAAGTAATCCTTTATTTCTATTTAAGGAATAAACTTAGTATCTACCTAAATTATACTCGTACTGCTTAACCTGGGGTGGGGCAGGTTACACTTGAAAATCCGCGGACTTTGTTAACTTTTAATTATCACTCCTTTTCGTCTTAAAGTGTAGAAAATAAAATAGTTTCCTCCTCAAAGTGCATTTAAATTGTACGCATTTTAAATAAAATGTCAAACAGTTTGATTCTTTTTGACGTGTCATTGTGGCGAAGAGACATGTAAACATGCAACATGAATATACACCTCTGATGTTTCGAGGGTCCGTGTTTGCTCTGCTCTTATTTTGTATTGTTTTATGGACTTTGAGATTGAATACTGTTCGTTATCTCCATATCCTTCATGAAAATTATTTATGTCAACATGCAAAATAATTGTGTAAACATGCAGGATACCACAACATTTTGTAGACATGCTTCACCATTCTTTGGCAATTTTCAGAATCAGTACATCTTACGGTACAGATCACGGTTGCTGACTTTGGAAAATTCTTGCCAACCCACCGCAATTGATAACCGAATAAATTAAAGTTGCTGTCTGTGGGTAATACTTAATTTCGCGATTACTCAACTTAGCGGAACTCTTTCGCGATGGAGGAAGGAAACGTCTGTTGGATGGAGACAATGTGCTATTGAGTACAATGCAAGATAGGTAATTGTAGAGTTTATAAGGACGGATAAGTAAAAAATCCTGGTGGAATACCTTGCTTAAAAATCGCTGAACCAGCTTAATTAATTTTTGAGTCGAGATAATCCTCAAATATTACATTTTAAATGATATTTTAACTAAGCGGACTTTTCTTATCAAATTTTCATTAATGAAAATCGTCACATTTTAAAGCTGATAAAATATTCTAAACTTTCCTTAGTCGACAATCTACTATTTAGAGTCCATTTCTTGGAAATTTATTATATACATTCGGCATTGAATTAATTAAATCATTTGATTGTTACTACTGTAAACAATCTCATGTGTCCCCAAATTCTAGAGTTTTCTCGACTCTCCCGCAAACAGTGGCAGTAAGTTGGAAAACTGCGAGGTACTCGCGATATTACGGAAGCAGTGACTCTTACCTGATCAGTATATACTTTGGACAATTTTGTCAACAGTAAATCCTACCTGAATAGATAATTGTTGCTGTCGCTGGACACGTCGTGCGGCCCCATCGGGTGTAAACAGTTCCCCCAGGCAAGAAACATTGTCCAGCTTGAAAAGTGACCACTACCACGATCAAGACGACAGAGAGAATGGACATCATCTTAGATTTTATCTAGTGACTAATTAAAGAAATATTGATTAAGGATAATGCAAAAATATTCATTTTTATATGTATTCAATATTTCAAACCAATTTCCATAAAGTAAAAAAGTTAACACAGAAGAATTTTTTTTCAAGTAAAAAATTTCAAACATGTAGAGAAACACATTTCCCTTTCCAAAATTTAATTAATTTAATTTTAATTACCTTAAATCGGTGCTCTTCGAAGTCTTAAAGGCCTGAGATGCATGGTCTTTTATATAAAGACCCCTACCTTCTGTTACACCCCTAATTCCAGACGTGGCATATTGACAGGTGAAGAAAGAAACAAGCTTAGAGATTGAAATTTGAATATTTCTGATTATGAATCATTAAATCAACATTTAATATTTAATTATTTTTCTGGTATAAGCAACCATTCGTATAATTTCAAATGACCATAAAACTTACCAAATTACAGTAATGCAAAATCAGCAGACCTTTTCGAAAAGACATTTAGGTAAAAGTTATACCAAGGATCCATTAAGTAACAAGAGGCCCAGAGGCCACATCGCCCACCTGAGCACATCAGCTAGGAAAAAGCTCAAATCAGATCAGAATTGAAAAGTTTACTAAAGAGTTGGGGTGGGGGTGGGGAGGTGGCTTTAATTCTAATGCTACATGAGAATGCTTCCATATCAATTCTGCATATAACTTTTTGATAAAGTTTTGGGGAAAAGGATTTTTATAGATTTTTTAAGCATTTTCTTTGTATAAATATCTAATAATAATTTGAATTTGACTCCCATTGTTTCCCTCCTACCCCAAAGGGTACTCATGATTTGAGCAAATTTAAATCTTCAATACATGAGGATACTTACAAGTCAATATGACTCAACATAGCTTTTCTGTTATTAAGATTTTCCCCTTTATTTTCCTATGAAAAACTTTGATCAACCCTTGAGACACTTCCCTACCCTTGGATGTTATGAATTGAACAAATTTAGTTCTATAATATACTACCTGAAGATGCTTTCATATAAATAACAATAATCATGGCTTTTATATTCTTTAGAAAAAGATTTTTATGCCCCCGTAAACGAAGTTTCGGTGGTATATAGTTTTTGTCGGGTCCGTCTGTCTGTCTGTCTCTCTGTTTGTCCGCAAAAACTTTAACCTTGCCCATAATTTTTGAATAAATTGAGCTATGACTTTCATATTTCACATGTGTTTTCCTTGTGACAAGACCTTTCTTTGGGTATCACCGAATTTGACCTTTTGACCTTGACATTGGAGATTGACCCACTTTTACATGAAAATTTTAAACTTTTACTTTGGCCATATCTTTTGAACAGTAGATACCAGAACGCTTATACTTCACATATGTAATCTTTGTTAAAACACCTTTCATAGGATACCAACAACCTTGACCCTTTGACCTTGACCTTGTAGAATTCCGTACTTGTAAAATACCTTTAACCTTGGCCATTATTTTGGAAGGGTATGGGATAGGGCTTTCATACTACTTATACGTAATCCTTGTAAGAAGACCCTTCATTGGATACTTTGACCCTTTGACTTTAACCTTTGAGATTGACCTACTTTAAATAAGCAAACCTTGACCAAAACCTTTTTTAAGTGTTATACTTTGCATATTTAATCCTTGTGACAAGACCTTTCATTTCATATCAAGAACTTTGCCCTTTGACCTTGACCTTGGAGTTTGACCTACTTTAAAAAAAAATTGAACCTTCGCCATAACTTCTGAACTTTTAGGGCTAGGTGCTCTACATATTAAGTATTTTATGTGGCAAGACCTCTCCTTTGATACCAAATTACATTGACCTTTTCACTTTGGAGATTTTTGTACTTATTGAAAAAAACTTCAAAATTGGCTTTCTTTCAAATTTCATAATTGTTTTCCAGTGAGAATATTCTACATATTCATCTTTCCTGGCCCAGTGGTTTCTGAGAAGAAGACTTTTTAAAAATGCCATTAATTTTTCACTAATTCATATTTATCTCCTCTTGAAAGAGGGCATGTCCCCTCATTTCAACAAACTTGAACCCTCTTTATCCAAGGATACTTTGTACCAAGTTGGTTGAAATTGGTCTTGTAATTCTTGAAAAGAAGATGAAAATGTGAAAAGTTTACAACAACAACAACGACGACGACAACGACATCGACAGACAACGGACACATTTTGATCAGAAAACCTCACTTGAGCTTTGGGCTCAGGTGAGCTAAAAAGCATATATATATATATATATATATATATATATATATATATATATATATATATATATATATATATAACGAACAACTTTCTTTGCAATATATTTCGATGAACTTTAAAATGTGCAACAAATAATTATAATTCGAAAGCCAGAAACGTTGTCAATGTCCTTAATTGCCATAGAAATAAAAGTGCATGGAATCAAGATAAATGGTTTTCCACCAAATTAACAAATTTGAATAAAAGTGCATGAAATCAGTTTTATGGTTTTCCACCAAATTAACAAATTTAAATGAACTCGCGATAATAGTCGTTTGGTGGCGCTGCATAATTTCTCAAAGAAATGTGTCAATTTGTAGCTAGATCCCTTTCTAAAACAAGGACTACTTGTCTGTTGTTATGCATGTCGGTGGCACCTTAAGAAGAGATGTTGAATATATACTTAAGACTCCAACCGTCCATTAACATTGTGAATTTAATCTCAAGTTAACCTGTCCTAATACATGGTTCTACAACACCAACTTTTTTGGCGTAATTAAGTGCGAGAGCTTTATAATAATGAATAAAATTAAACATATAACTCGAGTATTTACTATTTATATGTATAATATTTCTATCCTTTGCACAGAATGACTTGATATCAACATGTCCTTAATCCTTCTTTGGGAAAGGGATCTAAATCCCCATTTTTTGGTGTAAGATTAGTTTTAAAAAGTTTTTAGAGTTCTGTTATAGAGCTGTTTAAAGATATCTGCTGCAGGCGTGCTTTAGAAGCCATTTTTAGACTAAGAGATGGGTACCTGACGTTACTTATTTTTCTTTTAATAAACATATTGGGTAGAGGTACATGTATAATATTTTATTTAGAGAAAATTAAGTAATATCAGTTACCTGTGGATTTATTCTTTTGTTAAGTTTGCTGGCATTAATCTGCCACCTACATACAAGATAGATTAAGTTAAGATACAACATAAATGTAGACATTCCTCTCGTGTATATCAACTTGCAAACTAATTATGTTGATATGCAAGTATTTCACTGTTGAAGATCTTATTTTAATGTTGATACACGAAAACTTTCTAACACCATTATATGGCATCAGATGCAACAGCAGATGCAACAGGATTATGAAGACAGGCGACTTTTTTATATTGAAATACAAGATAATTAATATGAATTTAACAGGTCGGAGAGAATACTCGAAATCGGGTATTATCCGCGAAATCGTGTATACTACCCGATATTAATGGACATTTGCGAAATAGCGTACAACGAATAGCGGACTTCGGACTTCAGATATGTAAAGGCGGACTTTTCTAAGGGAGCAGCTTAAAAAAATTTAAAAAAAATATGAATCTATAACAAATCATCTGAAATAGTATACATGTAGGCCTCTGATAACAATTAAAAATTAAATTGAAGAATTTTGAATTCGTATTTGGGCTTGTTTAATTAGAAAGTTTGCCTAAAATTTGTTTGTAAACATCGGACCCTCTTGAAATAACTTATATTTAAGTATGCATTATTAAACACCCATTCTCAATATAAGGGCTCAAATAATGTCGCCTCATTTTCATTTAAAAGAAATACCACTGATGTAATTTTTAAATCAACATTATAAATAGTCATATAACAATGAATAAGAATTCATATAATTATCGATCTGAAAGGGTATTTAAGGAGTTCCAAATTCAAATATAGTAGCCTATTTGAAATGTACGTTACTGTCGCCGAGGCAAATATTATTCTGAATCCCCTCTGTGTAATATATAGTTTTGATTCTCAAGTAAAAATTTTCTGATAAGTTAAACCTTGTATCATATATATTTCTTTTCATAACAATAAATACATTTTCTTTGTGATAATAAATAATTTTTATTGTGCAATGTCCCTGTCGCTTAATTCTATTTCAACCACATTACAAACAAACACAAAGATTATACACCTGATAGTTTTGTTCTCCTTTATTTATTGATGGGCTAAATTTGAAATTTCAAAGGATTAATTACTCCTACTTAGATAATGTAACATGAAATAAAACAACTTGAGCAACTTTTATAAATATGTTTACGGAATCAAAGACATTTTCAATCGTAGAGATAAGAAAGAAATGTACGTTACCTATATTCTTCCATTAAGAATACATATTAAGTAGAAAATATGAGACGACTCTGAATAAGCAACCCCTTGTATCCTGTAAACTGGCAAAGACGTTTTGCTTAACACAATTAAAAACTATTATTTACATGAAAAGTGATCATTTGAAATGTACGTGACTGAAATGTACGTTACCATGAAATTCGAATTAAGTGAATCTCGCACGAATTTTCATGTATTCTAATACTTTCACACACTCGAATGTGTACACAAAGGAAAGTTTCAAAGGTTGGAGGTCGGCTAAATCCCAAAATTAATGAAAAGAAACGTCTCTGCTGAGGAAAAAAATATATTAATGTCAATTATTATGTAATATAATTTTGATACCTGGTATATATTTCTGAATACGAAACCTGTATGATGCATTTCTTATGATTTGCAGGTTCAAATAGTATCAACATATTGCGTGTCTAACGTATGCTTGTGGAAGAGAATTGATTTTTATATTTGAAATGTACGTTACGTATGGTAACGTACATTTTATGTATTTCTAACTGACAATTTTTTAAATTAAGTCAATGAATTGCGTTTACACGAGCGAAACAAAATTATCGTTACAATCCATTTGACAACTGGCCACATAAATCCATCTAAATGCACCTCCAATCCTCGTAAATGTTTTTAACTGTTACCACATGCTAGAAAATTTATTTCTAAGTGTCTTAAATTCATCTTTGGCAAACTTTTTGCAGTTTGTTTACTTTTCATATGCGACTTTTCGTCAATATTAATTGAATTGTTGTTGATAATTTAAAACAAGGTATGCATAGGCTTATAATTGGTAAAAAAAAAAGAAAAAAAGAAAAGAAAAGAAAAAGAAACAAAACAAATAAACCCAGAACACAAGAC